CGAGACCATTTCAGAGCCGGAAGGATGATAGGAATTAGGGGGGAGGAATGAGGATTGGTCTGGGCGAGCACCCTGGTGAGTCGCCGCGGCTGAGCCCGTCCACACTGTAAACCAAATCTACAAGTTGGCTCCTTGTTACAAGTTTGGTTCCAATTCGCATAGGCGTCACCTTGTCGATACCTTGTCGATTCACCAACCCCAGGCTTGTTGGCCAACAAACTAACAGTTTGTCTACAAGTTTGGTTCCAATTCGCATAGGCGTCACCTTGTCGATACCTTGTCGATTCACCAACCCCAGGCTTGTTGGCCAACAAACTAACAGTTTGTCTACAAGTTTGGTTCCAATTCGCATAGGCGTCACCTTGTTGAGTACTAGTCTGGGCCTTGTGGACCTACCAACTTCTGGATAGGCATATTCGTTTCCTTGTCGGTTCACCAACCCCTGGTTTGTTGATGAACTAGCCTTTGACTGGGCATTGCTAGCTTACAAATTGTCAACAAGTAAGTGTACTAACGCTCTGTTCGAGCTTGTCAACAATCGCTTTGTTTGCGTTAATAACCTTAAGAACTTACGATTCGCGTTCGTTTTCAATTGCGACGATACTGATTCAGGAAATATTTTCTATACGGACAGGTTATTTTTTGCCTGGAAGTGGTGCACAATACCATGACTGGCATCAGTTATTGCTCAAAGGCTTGCGCTGACAAGAAACGAAATACTGATGGGTTATATAATCAATGAATGCATACACCACATCCATTCGGAAGTTTCTGGGATCATTACTATTTATTACGGTCACGTAATTAATACTATTGACTGGAGACAATTCCGAGTGCATATTTTCGAATGGATGTGGTAAATGCATGAGGTAGGTATACCCAGTGGGTATACCTATCGTGCACCGTCAGCATATAAGTCTTTGATGCAAGAACTGCTGCGTATGTGGAAGAACATGGTTTTGTGCACCGCATCAAGCCAGAAGTATAACATGCCCGTATGACGAATATTTCCTAAACATTGACCATAACAATATGGCAGTTGCACGATCACGCAGATAATTCGAATAAATCATGATCGCCAACCAGATTAGCTTTTACAGTTCATATATGTCCATCAGTTAAGTTAAAAACACAAAGAGTTGAATTAAAGGCAAATAAATGTATTTATATAAAAAAACACCGACCGCAAAACATCTGCTCACATGTGCATGCACAGGTCTGGCCCACTTACATTGCGCGCGCAGGGGAAGGGAGGCGTCTCGACCGCGGGTATAGGCACGATTAGTGCGTCCCGCAGGCCAGAGGGGGCCTCACTCACAGCACGAACACCACAGCTCACAGATTTCACTTTTTACTGCACAAATGCTGGAACAGCCCTCGTCGCTGCTCCAGGCTGCACGGCGGCCGCGCGACAACTGCTGGTTCGAAACCGCCGCGCCGGGGCCCGCTAACGGCTGGCGGCGACCGCTGATTGGTCCGCCAAGTCTGACGTCATAGGCGCAGCTGACCATGTGTATGCTGACCAGCTGACTAGTACAAGTTAGGCGCCGGTTAAATAACCATGCGGCAACAAGTTTCCAAAACTGGTTAAGAAACAAACGTTGAAACAAATGTAGAGTTGGTCTGGATACTGAGAAGTTGGTGTGCATAGTAACTATTGACTCGTAGTTGTCACCTGACAAGCAATGCACCAGACAACGGCTTGTTTAAAAAGTATCAGTTGGTAAACATACCAAGAGATGATTGGTTATATTACACAAGACTTGTCAATTTGGTTTACAGTGCAGAGGGCAGGCCGACCAGCACCCCCAAGCACTCACCGCACCCGGTTACGGGTGTGCTCTTATCGGGCGTTCCCGCATGGGATAAGTTGCCCATGCAGCCCGGAACAAGGGGTTGAGGCGTGGAGGAGGAGAGGGATTTGAGTGTCCTGAGGATAGCAATGACGGCACGGTGTGTGGTATGAGAGAGTCCAGGAGGTTTTAATACTCAGTGTCGGCCTATATTCGTCTAACCCTTATACAACTACCGTCCACCAGTCACAACGGCCGAGATAACCTCCTCAGGTCAATCGGTAACCTTTGTCAGGTCAAGTGCCCCAAGGAAAGGGCTTGTGAAACTTCGCCAAAATTGACTGAAGCACCGCGATTTCGACAGTACCCGCGTGTTCGGCATGCTTTATAGGTGCGTCTATAGGAGCGTATGTTTGGGAGGAAACCTTGGGACGTTGCTCTCCTGTGAAGGTCAGGACAATGCCTTACCTACAGGTCAGGAAGTTGGCCTGATGGAAGCCAAGTCGCATATCATTAGGTTCGGCAGTCGGCAGATCTTCTTGAGTCCATTGATGGCTTTCCCGACTCGGCTGATCGGGAGTTAGGTACCTACTGGCGAAAATTCAAATTAGGTACATACCTTAGCGATGTCATATACCTAAACCAAAAGCTGCACCACGGACTTTTGGTTAGGGAAATGTACGGTATGTATCACGCCCCTTGCCCCTCCGATTCGGTTCCTGGGCCACGTAGCGGCAAACAGTGCTAAACCAAATGACCTCAATTAAAAGTCATCGCCGAGGAAAGCAGGCTCGTAGACAAAGGCAATACACATTCATATTTTTGGTCATTGCTCACTTGTAGGTATGTATGCATTCTTCGACACGTCAAGAAAAAGGAACACGCTGGCGGTTCTGTATCTGAAGACTGAAACTATCGAGCTACTTCCTCTAAACTTCTCATATCGCATCCGAAAACAGCGACGTCCGTGGTTTCAATCGGCTCTCGTTTCGGCATGACTTCCACCAGTCCCCGCTCGCCGATGCCGAATAACTGACGCTCCTTTATTGTCAAAAACACCTGTGCTTCTCCCTCCTTTTCATACGGCACGTGCGGTTCGCCAGGGCCAGCCTCGCCCTCCGCAGGTGCGCTCTCACTCTCGCCGTGACGTCACAAACGTCGGTGCCGACGCCGCTTGGCAGTCGACGGGCAGTGGAATTCGGTCGGCGCCGGAGTCGTGAGTTCGAGAGGACTGCGGCAGCCGCGGCCGCGCGCTTCCGCCGCCTCTCCCGACAGGCGGATCCGCAGGGGTCGGAGCCGGTCAGGGCGCGGGGGCAGTGCGAGTGGAGAGGTGTGCAGTGACAGAGGTGGACAGAGGTGGACAGAGGTGGACGGACGGCGGGGATGTATGTGGACGGCCAGGGGCGGAGAGGCGCCGGGATGGCGGCCGCCGCGCTGATGACTCTCCTGTGTTTGGTGTATCGTCCAGCTGCGGCGCTCCCCAGTCAAATCAATGTCTGTGAGTATCCGAAAATGGTGCTGCTATAGTGAACTGGTGACAGCACGACTATATGAGCACTAAGATCGAGCCTTATCGTACCAGATGCCTGTCCTCCGTCCGCTTATTCATCCAACTCATGAATAACGATTTTAGACTGTTTTCCAATGGCGAACTTAGCTTTATCTCTACGAACAAATTAGCAATCGCTGTACCAACCTTAGGTTACACCACCTATTTGCACCATTTACGTGTTTAACTTCCACGCCTGGACCTCAGGTGATGTGTACCTATGTATGTAGATACAGCTGAGCTCCGTTTGCTTCATAAGCATTGCATTATTAAGCCACACCTGTTACAACAAGAGAGCATCCGCTAACCCTATCATACGAGTAGCATGCCGCTATTTGATTTATTGAAGAGCGCGATACAATACTCGTACGTATAATTGCATAGATGAAACTCGACGTGCATTTTTTGGAAATACATGTCGCTAAAAAAAGTACCTATTTGCGAAACAAAAAACATTGCAATTACAACCATAGCGACAAACATCAACGCTTTTACAACTTGGAACATCGACTAGGTATGCCGGCGTCGCTTCATGGTAGATCCGAGCCCATACTAAGAAATCGTCATTTTAACATCAGTCCTGTTGAGTCCTGTGACAGTGCACGATAAGAATAGTCAAAGTAAATTAGAGACTTTACCGATATATTTCAGGTAGTTACGTCCGTGAGAAGATGACAGATCAACTCAAAATGCTACTTTGTCAACGATTAACCCTCGCCGGACCCATTGGTTTTCTACATACGCGCCGGCCGAGGGGGGGGGGGGGCGGGTACGACCCCCCCTCGCCGTTTCGCCCCTGGTGGAGCTAGCGCGTCGCAGAAAAAACGAGCGTGTGCGCCGTTACGAGACGCAGAGATTGGTACCCGATTTTAAGGTCCTAGGTCAACCGGTGACTTCTGAGGTCAGGTCAAGTGCCCCAAGGTACGGTTCAGTTTTTGATGAATAACTTTGCAAAAAACGGCCACAGAGCCGCGATTTTGGCAGCATCGTGTTCGCCTCGCTCAGGCGCGTCGAATGATATACTTTTTGTTCGGGTCAGGTCAACTTGGGGTGTTGACCTCAGGTCAAGGTCAGGTCAGCACCCCCAGGTCACGAAGTTGGTCGAAAGAGGTCATGTCGCATATCATTCGATTCGGCAGGTCTTCCTGAGGCCATTGGTGGCTTCCGCGACTCGCTAGCTCAATTTGATCAAGAGTTATTGACGAAAAACTAATTTGACCTTGATGACGTCATAAATAACGTCACGCAAGGTCAAAATTGCAAAGGTGACGCATCTAACCTTGCAAGGAGTGCATCAAATGACGATTCTGTGTGTTTGAGATAGTTGGAGATCGTTCCCGGCGCCAGAATAGCAGTTTTCCATTCGGGCTCCGGTCACCGAGCCAGCTGGTCGGGTCAGCGCTCCGGGCGAGGTCACGGTCGGCCGGTGCCGGGATGGCTGAGTGAGAGTGGCCCAGTGGGTGCCCGGGCGGCGGCCGTGTGTGTGCGCTAAGCGCTGAGCATAGCGCTGAAGTTTGTGACGCCGACAGCGATTAGTAACAATTTTTGAGTGCTCAAACAGTGAGAACATGGTGGCGACGGACACTGAAAGTGGTGCCGAGGACAGTGTATTCACCGACGCCACTTCACAGTCGGAGACTGGTGCAGGGACCGCCGTACGCAGAAAACGGCAATTTTCTGTGCCGGAGATGGTGGCTCGCGCAGAGGGCAGGAAGTCCAAGCGACCGGCGGTGAGTAGACTGTCGAAGTCTCCGCGTGAGACCGCATCGCCCGGCGCAGCTGTGATGTCCGCAGAAGCCCCAGCCACCGTGGAACTCAGCGACGCCGCCATGTCTCGCATTAAGCAAATGCTGGATGGAAGCATCGCAACGGTCATCGCTGCGTTCGAAACAAAGTTCAACAGCATGCAGCAGAGAATCGACGTGCTGGAAGGAGAAGTTATGGACAGGGACGTGGAGATCCGTAGCCTGCATGAGCAGTTGGTGAGACAAGGAAAGGCTCTGGAGGAGCAGCAGGAGAGAACAGAGGGCATCGACCTCAACCGCAGACTCTCGACGCTGATCCTCACCTGTGACGACTTCATCTCCAAGACGACTGACGAAGATGTCGAGCAGAAGATCTCCCAGGTGCTGAACCAGAGGTTCCCGTGGCTCAACATGACGCCAAAGGACATCCAGTCGGCTCACAGGCTCCAAGCGAACAACAAAGTTATCGTTCGCTTTGTGAAACGTCGAATGCGTGACGCAGTGTACGAAGGCCGATTCGAACTGGTCAACAGGACTGCGCGCGACGCTCGCAGACTGTCACCGCTGTACATAACAGAGAGCCTGACTCCCAAGAATCGTGAGGTCTACTCTTACCTGCTGGAAGCCAGGAAACCCGTAAACGGAAGCAAGGTCGCTTCAGTCTTCAGTCGCCGCGGTCTGGTGTTCTGCCGGGTGGAGAGAGGAGGGCCCAACATCAGCGTGCCGGATCTCCAGCGAGCGCAGCGCATCGTGAGCGGGGAGCGCAGCGCTCGGAGACCGCCCCCGGGCAGCGCGCCCTCCCGGCCTCCGGGCGGCCCCCGCCCTCCTGCTCCTGCGGCGGCGGCGGGCCCGCCTCAGCCCGGCGACGCTCGTCCGCCGGCGCCGGCGCCTGCGGAGACGGTCTCGACTCGGCCTGGTGCTGCCGGCCCTGCCGCTGTTCCCGCTGCGCCCAACCCGTCTCCTCCCGCGGCGTTGGCGGCTCCGGGGCTGCCGGGAGCTGTGGAGCTGCGGGAGCCGTCTGGCGGCGCGCCGGCGGCCCGTCCCCTGGCGGATTCCCGTCTCGGATCCGTGACAGCCGGAGCGGTCCCTGGATCTGCGGCGGGAGCCGTGGTGGGAGCTGACCAGTGACAGGTACCGTTCTCATGGGTATAGCCAGTAGTCTGCCGCAGATCAATTAGCCTGAAATACTTTTGTGTTCGTTTCAATTACGCACTGCAATGTTGGTAGAATGTCGTTTATTGCGTTTCACAGAGCATTCTGCTTCTTCAGATTGGGTCGGGTAATATTAAGGGTAGTTTGTAAGCGTCTGAAGTACATGAAATCAGTACAGATTTCCTTGTCCATACGTCTGTTGCGATGTCGTTGCCGGCGTCTACGGGGGCCGTGCCGGTGCGGCGTCGCCGCCGGCGGGCGGGCGCAGTGGCTGGGCTCTGCCCGGACGACGCGCACCGGCTGCCGGCGGCCGGCCGCCCGGGCCGCGGCGCCTGGAGACACTCGGCTTACCAATGACGATGCTGCTTAGTTTAATCGTTCATAATATGTAGAAGCGGCTATTAGGAGGCTTACACTGTGCCGTTTTTTTGTTTTTTTTTTATATATTTCTAATGTGTTTGGTAACCCCATTCTGTTAAAAAAAAACTGACAAATTGTACCTTCACATATGAGGCCGGCCGAACTATTATACGTGTGGCCGCCCGGGTTCTCGGTTGGCCCACTGCTTCTGGCAATGTGTCAGACGGGGGAATGTGTCGGGGCATGGAGAGAATCGAAATTCATACGTCCATTTCAACCCTTGCTCTGTCGCGCCCATATCGTGCTTATGCGCCTGCCGCGCGCCCACTTCGCCGGCGCCGGCTCCGGCGCGCGCGCGCGCCGCGGGTGCGCTCGCGTGCTCGCGTGCGCTCATGCACACATGCATACTACCATCAGCACAGGTACACACAATACCTGCGTACACACGGACACAAGTAGCACAGTAACCACCCACACAACCAGTGATACGAGTGCAACAGTTCGACACAAGACACACCACCACACAGCACACAACACTTACACACATACCTGCGGTTCTCGGGATTCTGTTGTGGCCAGTCACAATTGCGTATGTTTAAAAACGAGCGTGTGGTTTGAGGAGTTAAAAAGTGAATGTATCCAGGTCAACTTAAAGAAGGTTGAAAAATCAGAAACCAAGGCATCAGTAAGTTAACTATATTTTCAATGAACTGTCGCGGTTTGAGTCAACAGGCCAAAAGACGTGATGTACTTCACTACATCCGGAATTACAAATTTAACATCGTGTTTCTGCAGGATACGCATATGATAGAACAAACGCTGCCATTTTTCAATAGCCTATGGAGCGGAACCGCCTATCATTCATGTTTGTCTGCACGCAGCAGAGGCACCTGCATATTGATTGACAGAAGTACGTCGTACAGCATGATAAAAAACATACATTCAAAGTGTGGAAATTATGTTATAGTCATTTGTAAAATACAAACTTACGTATTCGCGTTCATTTGCTTGTATGGTCCAAATAGAGATAACCCAACATTCTTCACCGAAGTATTCGAACATTTAGAAAACATTGAAGTAGATCACATCATCCTCGCCGGTGATATGAATTTTGTAGTCGACCCGGAAAAAGACTGTCTAAATTATAAGACAGAAAATAATGTAAATGCAAGAAAAAACTTCATACAACTTGCAAATAATTTTAACATGATAGATATATGGAGACAGCTTAATCCGAACAAACGAATGTACACATGGACACGTAAAAACCCCTTCCAGAGCGGGCGTCTAGACATGTTCTTCGTCACAAGTCACACAGCGAATGTGATTACAGATGCAAAGATCCTAGCTGGGTATAAGACGGACCACAATGCAATAACAATCACAATTAACGTACAGAATGAAGCAAAAGGCAATGGTTTATGGATGTTGAATACATCACACTTGACGAGCGAAACGTATATTCAAAAAATGAAAACATGTATCGTAGAAATCTTGAAACAATATGCAGCTCCTGTGTATCAGGAACACGTTTATAGCGACCATCATAGTTACCCATACATTCAGCTTACCATTGGGGAATGCTTATTTTACGAAACACTCTTGATGATGTTGCGAGGAGAAAGTCTGAAATTGTCCAAACAACATGCTAAGCGCATAAGATCAGAAGAAGAACATCTAAAACAAAAAATTATTACCGCACATGAAAAATTTAATGAATCCGGACTTGAACAAGACTTAGAGAATTTAGAACTCGCGAAAAGCGAATTAGAGGAATTGAGGAAACCTATAATAGAAGGACTTATTATTCGATCCCGTGTCGCATGGCACGAAGAAGGCGAAAGAAGCTCGAAATACTTTCTGTCTCTTGAGAAGAGAAATGGACAATCCAAATGTATACAATACATCAAAGAGGGAGATCGTATAATTACCCAAACAAAAACTATTATGACTGAATTCACCAAGAACTTACAAGCAAAATATAGGGACAGTAACACGAATACAATAAATAAGAGTATGATTAAAGCTAATATAACGAAAAAATTAATGCAAGCCGACATAGAAAGATTAAATTCTGACCTTACCATGGATGAATTAACATTAGCTTTACAAAGAATGAAGAAAGGAAAAACCCCAGGAGCAAATGGTTTCCCAGCTGAATTCTTCAGAACTTTTTGGAATGAAATTGGACCGTTCTTACACAGAGCCTTTGTTGCATCGCTCAAACAAAATCAAAATTTCCCATCACACCGGGAAGGCATCGTTAAAATGATACCCAAACAAGGTAAATCCCCGCACTCACTAAAAGGATGGCGGCCTATAACGTTATTGAATGTTGACTATAAAATAGTGTCCTCCGCAATAGCAAATAGATTCAGAAGTGTAATCAACCAGATAATTAGCCCCTCCCAAACGGCATATATTTCTGGAAGGTTTTTAGGTGAAAATACTCGTTTATTATTCGACACAATAGAATATGTAAAAGAGAAAAAGATGAAGGCAATAGTTTTAGCGGCTGATTTCGAATCGGCTTTCGAATCAGTATCATGGAATTATCTAAGATCTGTACTAAGGAACATGAATTTTGGTGATCAGTTCTTAAAAATGATAGACTTAATGTATTTGAATCCGAAAAATTACTCACGAATGATGATAAACGGACACTTAGGGTCCAAGATGGCAATAGAGCAAGGAATTAGACAAGGCGATCCATCTTCGGGGTATTTGTTTAATATAGCGGTAGAAGTTTTGACAGGTCTAATAAACAAATCCCAGAAAATTCAAGGAATCAATATATCGCCAACTAAACAGATACGTATTTCACAATATGCAGATGACACTATTTTGTTATTAGACGGCTCAAACGCTTCGGTAGCAGGAGCACTAGACGACCTTACTACATTTGCCGAGCTATCCGGGCTGAAGGTGAACGTAGATAAGACGTCATGCTTACCAATAGGCTCTCTTGGAGGAAACCAAATACCTTTCGATGTAAGAGTCAAAGTAGTCGACGAACTTAAAATTCTGGGAATTTACCTCAGCGCTAATACTAACGAAACCACTAGACGAAATTTGAGAGAAAAAAATTGATAGCATTCGTCGAGATATTGCACAATGGAAAAGACGAAATCTGACTCCCGTGGGAAAAATATGCATCATTAAAACTTTACTACTCTCAAAGATTGTTCACCTGTTCATTACATTGCCAAACCCTGATAAAGAAGAAATGAAACTAATTGAGAGTTTATTATTTAACTTTATATGGCAAAACAAAGGTGATAAAATCAAACGCACTAAATTGGTACAAACGTACGAACAGGACGGATTAAAAATGGTAGACGTGAAAGCCTTCATTGATTCGATGAAACTAACATGGCTGAAACGCCTGATGACATCTGAAGCTGACTGGACACAGTTAGCGTACAAAGAATTACCTGATGTTAGAAAGCTTCTTACTTATGGTAAAGCGAAGCTTGCTCTAGTCAAACCCAAAGTGACTAATGGCTTCTATAGGGACCTTATTGATGCACTCATGAGATTTTCTGTAGACTGTAAACACAGTAGTGAGGAAATTTTATCAGAGACAATTTGGTGCTCTGATCATACGAAATTTTCGAAGACTGTTGTCAAAGAATGGGATAGAAAAGGTCTCAGGTTTATCGGCGATTTGTTCGATAAAAAGACAGGAAATGTATACAAAAAAGAGGAAATCGAAAATAATTATGGCATCCAGATGACATTCCTGTTTATAGTACGCAGCCTTCCACTGTGTTTGCGCAACAGCCCAAATAATTTCGAAAGTCCGAACATACCGTTCAAAATAAACGCGGTGATGAACGAAAATAAGTTTTCGAAGTATTCTTACAATATTTTTGTAAAATCCCTGGCAGCAAAACACACAACAACTAACAAAAGAATCGAGGAAAAATGGAAGAATGACATTGGAAACTATATTATGGGAACATCAAGGAAACTGATTGATGCAGCTTTGTCTACATATTTTGTATTCTTTCACTACAGAATAGTTATGCGTACGTTCCCAACAAATAAATTGCTCCACGTTATGCAAATAGAGCCTTCCAACCAATGTTCCTTTTGTGAAGAATCTATTGAGACAATTATACATCTTTTCTGGGAGTGTCCTAAAGTGAAAATTTTCATAAAAGAAGTCCTGTCACATATTAGGCAAAAGTACAACAAAACATTGACAATAAACAAAACAATGTGGTTCTTGCTGAACGATGCAGATGACATTGAAGTTCTCATTATTACGCTTTGTAAATATGTCACACACAAAGCACGATTGAATAAAAGTAAACCTACCTTGAACGTTATGCTAAACGTATTGAGGATCGAAGCACAAAAAGAGTATATTTTATTCAAATCTAAAAACAAACTAAACGAATTCCAAACTAAATGGGGAGCACTCGAACAAATCCTCAAATAGGAAGCGTACATTCTCTGAACTTGCGACGGATAGGTGTCAGCAGCATCCCGGAAGCCGCAGGCACAATAAATCACGACATGAAAACAGGAAAGCGCGCGACACCCCCCCCCCCACACACACACCCCCCCCCACACACACACACACACACACACGTCCACACTTTTTTTTTAAT